ATATTCTATGCAGCTCAGCGGGCATCGGCCCATGAACAACTCACGCTCTTATCGTGATCATAGTCTATATCAGCAGTTTACTGTCAATTGCACTCCTGTTTTTTTTCATATTTTCCTTGAGATGAAAAAATTGACCAAGTGACCCAAACCGGGAAATTAAGCTCGGACTGAGAGACGGAGAAATGAATCATTTAACCGTCTCCTCCTATGGCTGGACCGGATCGCTTATATCATTATTTTCAATTTCACCTAACGTTACTTTCTCCTACCGGCAGTTCTACCAGTTTTACTTAACCATGTGACGTTTTGGTGCCTCGCGTAGAAAAAGTGTTAATCGTCGAAAGCGAAATTCTATAGTCGACGTTTAGGAGGAACCTGGAGAGAGCCCTCCTCCTGATGCTCTTCCAAGTCCACCACAATTCGATCAGACCGTGGTATGTTTTCATAGAGTTCAGCATCATTAACTCCTGATTTGAGCAATCCCGTGGTGTAATGAGTTCTATTCCAGAGTGTTGGGCAGAGAGAAGCAGGAGAGGGGAAGGTTGTTGGTGAAAAGGTATCTCGTTTCTTTTTTCCTGCGACGCTTCCGCGATTTTTCTACTCTCAACTCAACTTTCAGGAGCGTGAAGAGTTCTGGGCGTTAGGAATAGCAGAAATGAAGAAAGGACACGAGATCATTGAAACAAGATCAAAAATTGAAAGCCTTCAGAAACAGCTATTTGAAGCCACAGCTCTCCTCCAGCAGGTATTGAATGTTTAAAAATTGTATAGAGTAGCTGCGCCTACAAGGAAAGGGTTTCAAGTTCTCATGGAGCTTCGACTGGAGATTTGGGCACGTCGGTGGAGTCTCTAGTCTGATTGCGAATATGCAGATAAAAAGTGCTACTGGATCTCCCAAACGAGCTGTGGGTGGTCAGTTTTGACTGTGAAAGCAGTGCCTACATTTCAGCAATGCGTTTACAGAAAACTTTAACCATCCAGAACTCGTTTGGGAAACCGTTTGGGGGTAAAAAAAATAATATGCATACTCGCAATCAGCAGTGGAGAATCTATCGGTGTATCCCAGCCTCGATTCCAGAACCTAGGACCCTGCGGCAGATTTGTGAAGATGTAACCGCTTTATTGGTTGACATTGCGAGCAGATCGTCATCCAAGAAAGTGGTGCAAGAAGTCCTCGGAGATCTCCTGAAAACGACATACAACGGTCTCATCACAATAACCGTGACTGGCTCGGCAGCACATATAAATCATGATTTCTTTATTCTCCCTGCGACGTTAATAACCTTTTTGGCTGCACCACCTGTCATCTGCTTCAGTCTGATTTCCGTTTCCAAGTCTCATGAATCAGAATTCAGATGGAAGTCGACATGAACGAAATCCTTCGTCGAAAATCGGAATTGCTTGGTCTACCAGTTCCCAGCACGTTTGTGTGATTACACAGGATCGTTTTTTTCACATGTACTGCAGGCCTTTCATAGTGGACTACGTTTACGTCTTAATGTATTCGTTATTGATTTCCGAGAGAATGGAACAATTCTGCATTTCTTCCTGTGTTATACTTCCGGTTTGCTAGGATACCACCTATAGTGTCTGAGCGATCTCCGTTTCATTTTTCCATGTAAGATTGTTTCCCACCGAAAAATTGCCTCTCAGTCTCCGTGATTATTTCCTGTTATTTTGTGACTAGTCGCAAGAGAAT